GCTCCAGGTGGAGCTGTTGTTCAGCATCTTAGCTGTAGAGGGCAGTGTCACTGGCCCTCATATGTGGGATCCAAACCGGGGCCCTCTGGCATACCAAGCGAGTTCTTAACCATCGCGCCACTCGGCCGGCCCGCATTGGATTTGTTTTTAATCACAAAGATTACGAACACATTTTTGCGGAAAAATTTGATATGCAAAAGGCTGAATTTGATTTGCAAAAGGGTGAATTTGGAGTGCAAAACCTGTGTCGGAACCACTCAGGAGCGTGTGGTTGTTTAAGATCTTAAAAGTATATTCAGCAGTAACATCCTAAAAGTTGGCAAGTGTAACGAACACGCAGGACCGTGCACGTCTTATTCCACACGAGCCCTCCAGGAACCGCGTAGCCCGCGCAGCCCAGGCGGCCCGGCCCCGGAGCCCGCCCCATCCCGATGCCGCGCCTAGGCCCACAGGCGTGGGACGGAGCTGTGCCGAACCTGGCGGCGTTTCGCAGCCAAGACCCGGTAAGCCGGCCGCCTCACAGCCCGAGCTTCCCGCCCTCCGCCTGGAGGCCAGAAACCGCGCCGCGCAATGACGTCATACAGACGCGCCCACTCCCCCAGGGGATCCGCCGTGCTTCCCCGCAATGACGTAGGCGGGCCTGCCCTGCGTGAGCGCGCGCCCGAGCCCAGCGCCACGCGATTGCGTCACACACCGGCCCCGCCCACCGCCCGAGGCGACGCGACCGAAGCCCAGGCCCCGCCCGGCCCCGCCCCCGCCCGCCCAGCGCGCTGACGTCACGCGCCGCCCGTGGGCGGAAGCGCGGGCGGGCTGTAAGGACGGCGCCGTCCCCTCAGAGGGGCGCTGGCGCGCGGGCCGAGGCTCCTGGGCCGGGACGGGACGCAGTCGCTGCGCGGCTGGGCGGCTGGCGATGAGCGACTCCCGGGCCCCGGGCCCCGAGGCCGGCGCCACCCGGGCCGAGCCGACCGGAGCGGCGCTGAGCGTGGACGTGACGGGGCTGCTGGCGCAGCTGGCGCGCAGCTTCGCGCTGCTGCTGCCGGTGTACGCGCTCGGCTACCTGGGCCTGAGCTTCAGCTGGGTGCTGCTGGCCCTCGCGCTGCTCGCGTGGTGCCGGCGGAGCCGCGGCCTCAAGGCCACCCGCCTGTGCCGCGCGCTGGCGCTGCTGGAGGACGAGGAGCGCGCCGTGCGCCTGGGGGTGCGCGCCTGCGACCTGCCGGCCTGGGTGAGTGCGCGCGGCCCCCGCCCGCTCACCTGCCCGCCTCCCCGGGACCCTCCCCGGCCGGGTGCCGCCCGCCGCCGGCGCGCCCGCTTGTCTGAGTCGGGCGTCCGCGCCTCGGCGTCGGCCCGGTCGCACCGGCTTCCCGCAGACCCCCTTCCGACGGGCGCCCTCCCCGCGTCGCCCCCGGCCCCGAGCAGACAGATGCGCACTCCGAGGCTCGGGGTGCCTGGGAGCCCGCGGGGCGTCGGCCCGGAGCCGGCCCGCCAGCAGCACCGCCGCGGGCCCAGAGGCCGCCCGGGGGCGCGGCAGAGGCTCCCGGGCTCTCCTTCCCGGGGAGGCGGTCGCGTCGAGGCTGTTTCAGGCGCCTGAGGGGCGGTGCGGCCTCCCGAGGAGCCGCCGGTACTGAGATAACCGCGAGTTTGCTTAACTTTTTGGGCGTGAGCTGACGCCCGCTGCGGACGGGGGGGCGGGAGCTGCTCCCCAAGGAGGAGCCGCGCTGTGGATTATCTTATTTGCGCCGCGGGCAGCTCTGCGCGTACCTTCCTCACGCGGCGTGGAAACGAGGGGGCGGGCGGCCTCCTGCTCCCGCATTCCCCCTCAGCCACGCGCCGGTGTCGGTGTCAGGCGACGGGAAGCAGCGCTGTGTTAAAGAGAAACGGTGCTCGGCTCGGCGTGAGCCCCGTGTGACAGCGGCCCGCTCCAGCGGAGACGGGGACTCGGAGCCGGCCCCGTTTCCAGTCGTGAGACGCGAGGAGTCGGGCCTGGCGCGGGTGACGCAGAGGCGCGCGGACTCGGGCTGGGGCCGCTCGGTGCGGACGGACGGCGGCGGCGAGGTCCCAGCGGCCAGGCTCCCCGGAGCGGGCGGGCGGGCGCGATCGGAGGGTCCGCGGGCGAGAGGAGGAGGGAGGCACGGAACACGGGGTCGGAGGGGCCAAAGTGGGCGGAGCCCAGAGCGGAGCGCACGGGGCCCGGAGGCGGGAGGTGCCCGCGGGTCGCTGCCGTGGGGCAGGGGAACCGCAGTGTCGGGGACCGACACGCTGCTGGGCAGGGGCGGCGACGGGGCTGCTTGTCGGCTGACAGCCGTCGCTTGTGAAAACCCTGGCGGCGGGCACACTGTTCCACAGAGCAGGTTAGCAGATGCGGTTGTTACCCTCTTGAAGGACCGAACAGATTTTTTTACGTAGAATAAAAAGGTGATAAGTCAAAGATTCTTTTCCTGGGATTTTCCTGTGTGACTTAAAATGATGAACCATGGTGTTCATCTCATAGAAGAAGGAATTTATATTTTTCTCCGAGCTTTTTCACGTGTTTGTTCCAAATTTGTACTTGTGCTCATATCACACACACATATATACTTAAACATGCTTGCATGGTTAAAAACTTCTGGAAGGATCCACACAAAACTTGACAGGGATCAAATCCAAGAAAAGCATTAGGAGTCGGGTTTGAGGGAGATTTTTTTTATACCTTTTTAAAAATTTTATAATCATAGGTAATATATCACTTTTATACCTTGTTAGTTGTAATACCTATGTGTTATTTTCGCAATAAAACCAGTGAATTACACTTTCCAGAACCGTGCCTGCTATTTTGCTGTATAGCCAGGTAGCAAATCAACAATAGAAGAAGCGATGCATAAGAAAAGATTTCTGTATTAGTAGAATTTTGACTTTTACAGCACATGCTTAGGTTCCAGGGTTTTGAACTTTGGGGTGGTAATTTGCTTTGAATGAGATATATTTGTACATATTTTCATAGTGTGTCATTAACAACTGTGATTCATAGCAGGGCTGGAAGCATAGGAAAGTTTGAACTAATGTGGTAGTCACTTCCAACCCCACTTTTGGATAAATTCACTTAACAGCTTTTCTTATTTTTATTTAGTAAAGTAAAAATTTACACTGGATATGAAACATAAGATAATTAAAGAATAGTAATACTTTGAGAAAATCTATACTGTTTTGAATTAAGGCTATTAGAATATGAAAAATAGCTCTCACTTAACGTGATAATTCTGTAAGACTTTGGTCCTGCAGCTGTAATGTAAACCCTATTGTTACTCATTCTTCTCTCTCTCTTTTTTCTTTCTCTTTTTTTCACAAACAGGAAAGGCCTGGCAGGTTTGGATTGATGGATTGAGAACTGGCCTTTTTTTGTTGTACCAATGTCTACCCTGTGTTAATTGGGCCCTGTAAAATTAGACTATGGGTAAAGAATATTCTTGAAGAGTTTTTATAGAGATGAATAAGAACAATTTTCCATCACTGTTTTCATTTATTTGAAAAATTTCAACTTGGTGGGGTGAAGTCTTCCACCAAAAACCAAAACCTTTCCTAATTTTTCTACTACCAGTAAATGCTGACTCTTTGGCTGCAAATAAGTAGAGATCCAAACCTGTCATATAAAGTATTACTCAACTGGTTTTTTTTGTTTGTTTTTTAAAGATTTTTATTGGGGAATTGGGGGATGGGAACAGCGCTGGGGAATTGGGGGAAGGGGAACAGACAAGTTGCTGTC